TTGTCTTTGTGGTTGAGTGAAAGGCTACCTTCTATGGTTTTAGTGAAGTGTGAATAATTTGATTGTGGCAGGGAGTGTACTGAGTGGTGGAGGAAGTGCGCCATTTCCAAAGGCTACTGCTGCTGACTGGGTGAAGATGGTAAATGAGATTCAAAAGGGTTCACTTTCAACACGCCTTGGTATTCCCATGATTTATGGAATTGATGCAGTGCACGGGCACAACAATGTCTACAAAGCAACAATTTTTCCACACAATGTTGGCCTTGGAGTCACAAGGTAAGGGAAATTGCGGGTGCATATATTCATTTCAGTAGCATTTTTCACAGATCTTGAAATGTTTACACAAATGAGAAATTTGAAGAAACATAAAAAGGTTAGTGCTTGTGACATATAGTCTATACTTAAATATTTGATCACAATAGGGCTTGAAAGTTTATTCTTTTCTCATTATTGTTCTGTGCTGTGGATTTTAAACCACATTGCATAAACATGGGGGAAGAGGCTGAGAGATGGCTGAAATGGTGATTAGAAAAATTCTGAGTCTCTCATCAGGAGTAGTTCGAGAGGATCAATTACATCCTCTGCTGGAATTTTGTCTTTGTACTGATCAATTTTGCTTTACATAAATGGGGGTGATGCTAAGACTTCTTGCCCTATCTATCTTTGCTGATCGGTATGAGGATGGAACCATGGTTTCACGAGTCTGTCTGGAAATTTATTTAGCCGGAAGTGTTACTTTTAGGAAATTTGGGAAGATCATACTCAGATAAGGGACATTTTGTTGATATAGAAGAGATTTAACACTTTAGATGGTTATTTTACAACTTTTTCTTTAAGTTCTTTTATTGCACTTACTGATACGTGGAATAATCTCAACTTTGCAATAGAGACCCACAGCTTGTAAAGCGGATTGGAGCTGCGACTGCCCTTGAAGTCAGAGCCACAGGAATCCCTTACACTTTTGCACCGTGCATCGCAGTGAGTAGTATCACATTATATACAGTTTACTTATTGTCTATATTTGATAGACTTCATCATAGGTCTTGGTGTTTAGTGTTGCTTGATACTTGTTGTCACAGGTCTGCAGAGATCCAAGATGGGGTCGGTGCTATGAAAGCTATAGTGAAGATCATAGAATTGTTCAGGCAATGACTGAGATCATTCCTGGTTTACAAGGAGATGCTCCGGCTAACTCCCGTAAGGGTGTTCCGTTTGTCGGAGGAAAGTATGTTTCTCTAGTCTTTCACATCTTTATCCTTTCTAACTTCGTTGTAAGTTCATTTGACTGCAAAGTATTGTGATATAACTTTCATCTAGCTGTAACATTCATTATTTCATTACACATCCTCGTCCATATTTAGCCTTTACGTCTATCTAGTATATGGTCTCCAATGACATGATTGTGCATTTCTAAATGTGCTCAAGGACAAAAGTAGCAGCCTGTGCTAAGCACTTTGTGGGAGATGGTGGCACTACCAAGGGCATTGATGAAAATAACACTGTTATTGATATGAATGGGCTACTTAACATCCACATGCCTGCATATTTTGATTCAATTTTAAAGGGAGTTTCCACAATAATGGTCTCTTACTCAAGCTGGAATGGAAAGAGGATGCATGCAAACCGTGACCTAATCACTGGCTTTCTCAAGGGAAAGCTGAAGTTCAGGGTAATAGAGCAACTCTCTTTTAAGTTCTATTGGTCGAATATAGTGAGGAGATTGCTGATTATCACATTCTCTGTTACCTTTATTTCAGGGTTTTGTCATATCAGATTGGGAGGCAATTGACAAGATTACTGAACCGCCTCGTGCAAATTACTCTTACTCTGTTCAGGCTGGAGTTCTTGCTGGACTCGACATGGTCAGTCTGAAGGATTAGTTCCAAAGTTGTCTGTTATATAAAATACATTTACTAATTTCCCATCTTAATTATCACCTTATCACCTGACACAATTTGATCGTCATTAATCAACTCAAGCTGAAATCACTTCTCACTTCCTAATGTATTTAGTTTATATTATTGCAGATTATGGGTCAGGAGAATTTGGTTGAATTTCTTGATGATCTGGCTTTCCAAGTAAGGAACAATATCATTCCCATGAGCAGGATAGATGATGCAGTTATGAGAATACTAAGGGTTAAGTTTGTCATGGGTCTCTTTGAGAACCCATTGGCTGATCTCAGCTTAGCAAACCAACTAGGAAGCCAGGTAATTTTTCTGTTCTGGTGTAATATAAATTCTCTTCACCTGATTTTTTCTTGACTTGATTCCTTTCTTTTCAACTTAAATTCTTTCTGTAGGAACACAGAGAGTTAGCAAGAGAAGCAGTGAGGAAATCACTTGTACTATTGAAGAATGGTAAAGTTACTAACCAGCCACTACTTCCCCTTCCGAAAAAAGTGACGAAGATACTTGTCGCTGGCATTCATGCTGACAATTTGGGTTACCAGTGTGGAGGCTGGACTATAAGTTGGCAGGGAATTGGAGGCAATGATCTTATTACAGGTATCTTTCTGTTATCTTTCAGTTAGAAGTCTTCACAGTTCTTTGAGCCAGTGCAAATCAAAATCTCGTCACTGCATAAACCTCAGAAGTTATTTTGAACTATTGAGATCCCACTTTACAACTTAATATGTTTGTGATAGATTTCTGTCTTTATTTCATCTGTCACTTAAGTACAAATAAACCTCAACTTTTATTGTGTGCATTTTGAATAATGAACAGTAAATGCAACTGATTTTTTCAACACCTTAGAATTTTGTAAGACACATACATGTGGCTTCAACCAAAGTGAAAAAGAACAAATTGGACTCTAATTTAGTAGGGCTATTTGTATCTTAGCACCATTTTTTAAGTGGCATTAGTTTAAAGATATATTTTAAGTATTGGTTAAAAATGGGTGAGAGAGATATTTTCTCAAAGGGTGATATCAAGGGTATAATAACATACTCATTTTCTATTTTGTTGATGAAAAGGTACAGACTCTTTTTAGTAAGTTACCAAAAGAAGTACATATACATCAGAGAAAGGAACATCCTTTTATATACTGGAAGAGTACAAGAGGTCTAACAGTGAAGCTTTTTCTTAAAGTATAATGTAGCTCGGGATGGAGTAAACTGGGAAAGGTGAATCAAATAGGCTTTGACAGCGTCCTCGGAAGGACTTAGATAATTGGATATTGCTTGGCTACTTCTATAAACTTTAGACCATATCTTTCTGGTTCCAGAACAGTTGCACTGTTTAACGAATAATCTACAAGCTGGACGAAAAGATTGATGCTACATTTGATTTTTTATTTTAGAGATCGTGCTTGATGATCGTCAAATTTTTAAATGAGAATTGTCTTTAATTGTAGCATCAGACTGAATTAGCTTTCATATATATGACAAATACAGGAACTACAATTTTAAATGCTGTGAAAAAGACAGTCCATCCATCTACACAAGTAGTCTACCAGGAGAATCCAGACGTAAACTTTGTTAAGTCCAACCACTTTTCCTATGCCATTGTTGTTGTGGGTGAGACACCCTATGCGGAGATGTTTGGCGATAGTGCAAAGCTTACCATTGCTGAACCTGGTCCAAGCATCATCTCCAGTGTCTGTGGGGTTGTGAAATGTGTGGTAGTTGTGGTCTCTGGGCGTCCAGTTGTGATTGAACCGTATCTTGCAAACATAGACGCCCTTGTGGCTGCTTGGCTTCCGGGAAGTGAAGGCCAAGGTGTTGCTGATGTCCTGTTTGGTGACTATGGATTCACAGGCAAACTCGCCCGCACTTGGTTTAAGTCAGTTGATCAGCTTCCCATGAATGTTGGTGATCGACATTATGATCCTTTGTTTCCTTTTGGATTTGGTCTCACTACTAAGCCTGTGAAGAGCTAAAATCTCTTCATCTGGAGTTCTACTTGCTGCTCAATCTTTATATATTTTTTTGTTTAATGGATATTTAATATCATAATATAAGAGTTTACAAGAAAGAAGCAGCATTAGTTCAATATACTCTAGTTTACCTAATTACTATTATCATCCAAAATTTAAGGTTCAAAGGTTATATATGACCGAACATATAGAAAATTTACCCCATATATATCGTGTAATTTCATCTGCAAGTTCTATTGGTCTTTTAAAAACTCAAAAGGGGTTATTTGCAATTTTCCTGTCACGTGATTGCTTTTTTTCTGAAAAAAAGAAATGATTTTGAGTTGTCATGAGGGTTTGGTGTGTGCTATTTTTTGTGTTTTTCACCAGATTGGCCAAGCACCAGGCACAAAAAGAACGGGGAAATTTTCAATGCCCATGAGGTTTTTGTGTTGTTCTGCCTATGGTCAGTGATTGCAGAGGCAGAGTACTTTTAAGTACAAGACCCAAACACAGTCAAATTGAACTAAAAACAAAAAGTTTTGACAATTCACTTAAAAAGTTTCGAAAACATTTTTCTTAATGTAATTTAAAATTTTCACAATGAAGCATGTCAAATGCCTACTAAGCCCCTAATCACACCTTACCTTATTACCCCACTGATTTCGTTTGGATGGATGTTGTCATATCGTATTGTACTGTATTGTTACGTAATGTTACATATTTATAATTTAAATAATAAATCTATAATAAGTAGGGTATGAGATAGAGCTACTATGAAAAAGTTGGGTAAATAAACACAAAATGAGAAGAAAATATTAAGGTAACCATCAAATTGGTCCTTACATAAAATTGATCTTTTCATCATACAATGTCGCGCGAGGTGGAAGCTGGCCTCCTGTTCGCCCCGAGCTCTCGGCTGGCCTAAATGTGAGTTCACGTCAATGGATGTCGCAACTAAGTGCGAATTTAAGTAACAATCAAAACAAACATTACATTTAAACTAACAATATAATACAAGTATACAACACATTACGTATCAACCATCCAAAAATGATGCAAAGGCGGAGCTAGAAGCCTCAATACAGATACACCGAATCCATTAGCTTTTGTTCAAATAATGCATTTGTTAAGAAATTTACTGAATATGTATAAATATTAAAATCAAAACCCAGCCTCTACCAAGTACCCTATCACTCAATGTGCATGGTGTGTGTACAGTGTAAAGTAGTGTATATATATACTCACCTACTTATTCTCAATAAAATTGTATGTTTCAAAGTAGAAGAGGTTCAACAAGTAAGTTATTCATTTCTTGTTTATACCTTTTCTCTTTTTTCATACTTGTTAAAAAACTTGTTTCTTGTTTGTACACTTTTTTTTTTTTGCACTGATCTTTTGTGCTATTTGTGAGGTTTACCAGTCTGTCCAAGCAGAAGAGACAAAAATAATGGGAAGATTTTCAATACCCACGAAGGTTTTTGTGTTGTTCTGTCTATGGGTAGTGAGTGCAGAAGCAGAGTACCTAAAATACAAGGACCCAAAACAGTCAATGTCTACAAGAATTAAGGACTTGATGAAAAGGATGACTCTTGAGGAGAAGATTGGTCAGATGAGTCAGATTGAGAGGAGATTTGCCTCAACTGATGTTATGAAGCAATATTTCATTGGTATGTTTTTAAAAATTCATTCTTTATGTGTTTATAGTGCTGCCGGAAACAGCCCCATGAAAAGTAGGAGTAAGGTTTGCGTACAGAGTAACCTCCTCATACTCGCTTGTGGTATTACATTGTGTATAGCTGCTGTAGTGTATATTAGAAATTAACTTCTTCTGGGCAGGGAGTGTGTTGAGTGTTCCAGGGGATACTCCTGGACTTAATGCTGCTGCTGAGGATTGGATCAATATGGTAAACGACATTCAGAAAGCTGCTCTTTCGACTCGCCTTGGTATTCCAATGATTTATGGGATTGATGCAATTCACGGACACAACAATGTCTATAATGCTACTATCTTTCCTCATAATATTGGACTTGGTGTCACCAGGCAAGTATATAAATTATAACAACTATGTTCCTGATTTTGGTTCATCATTTCAAATGATCCTGTTAAAATTTGTCACTTTAATGTATGTAGGGACCCTGATCTTCTGAAACGGATTGGTGCTGCAACTGCACTCGAAGTTAGAGCAACAGGAATCCCATATGCTTTTGCTCCCTGCATTGCAGTAAGTTGATATGATATTAATGAACTTCTTGGTTAAGTTGCATTTAATTTTCTTTGTTAACTGAATAACTGTGCTATGGTAGGTATGCAGAGATCCTAGATGGGGCCGTTGTTATGAAAGCTACAGCGAAGATATCAATGTTGTGCGAACCATGACAGAGATAATTCCTGGTTTACAAGGAGATGTGCCAGCTAATTCTAGCAAGGGTGTTCCCTTTGTTGCCGGAAAGTATGAATCTTTATCGATTTTTCCTGATGATGTTTGTCGTGGAACATTCGTTTGATTGCACTTTCAACTGTTTAAGGTCAAAGGTAGCAGCCTGTGCCAAGCATTATGTTGCAGATGGAGGCACGGAGAGGGGAATCGATGAAAATAACACTGTAATTAACAGGACTAGTTTATATAGCATTCACATGCCTGCATATTATGATTCAATCATAAAGGGTGTTTCAACTGTGATGATTTCTTACTCAAGCTTGAACGGGGAAAAGATGCATACTAACCGAGATCTTGTCACTCACTTCCTAAAGGACAATCTCAAATTCAGGGTAAGAATGATTAGCTACACTCATTCAAAATCAGTAAGTTAAGGTCAAGTAGTGATATATCCATCTTTTGGCCTTGCATCTTTTTCAGGGTTTCATCATTTCTGATTCGGAAGGCCTTGATCGGATCACCAGCCCACCTGATGCTAATTACACTTACTCAGTTCAGGCTGGAATTTTAGCAGGAATTGACATGGTTTGTTTTGTTTGATCTCGAGTCATTTTTAGCAAAATGATAGTCTATATGATTGTTTTGTCTGTGAAGCAGGTTATGATTCCAAATAACTACGCAGAATTTATTGGGAATCTGACTCTACTAGTGAAAGATAATATCATTCCCATGAGCAGAATTGATGATGCTGTAGAGCGGATATTGAGAGTTAAGTTTATCCTGGATCTCTTTGAAGACCCACTGGCTGACCTAAGCTTGGTAAACCAACTCGGTAGCCAGGTAACGTTTGATATTCAAAACTGTTTCAATGCTTGTGATCTAAGTAGGTCTTTTACATGTGAAAAATTGTGACCTATCATGCTTCACCGCCACTCTGCAGGAGCATCGAGAGTTGGCAAGGGAAGCAGTAAGGAAATCGCTTGTCCTTTTGAAAAATGGCAAGATCACTAGTCAGCCATTACTTCCCCTTCCTAAGAAAGCACCAAAGATACTTGTAGCTGGAACTCATGCTGACAATTTGGGTTACCAATGCGGAGGCTGGACCAATCAATGGCAGGGCGTCTCAGGCAATAATTTCATAGTTGGTAAGGAATCTGTTATTTCGTATTAGGAGTAACAACCTACATAGATAGCTTCTAATTCCACTTTTCGTGGGCGATTAATGATAATATGACAATTGCTTTACAGGAACCACTATTTTAAGTGCTATCAAGAAAACTGTAAATCCGTCTACACAAGTAGTGTACCAGCTGAATCCTGATGCAAACTTTGTGAAGTCAAACAAATTCGACTACGCCATTGTTGTAGTAGGTGAAGTCCCATATGCAGAGATGCTTGGTGACAGCTCAAATCTTACAATACCAGAACCTGGTTCTAGTACTATTAACAATGTCTGTGGGGCTGTGACATGTGTTGTAGTCATCATCTCTGGTCGTCCAGTCGTGCTAGAGCCTTATGTTGATAAAATAGATGGACTTGTCGCTGCTTGGCTTCCGGGGACTGAAGGCCAAGGTGTTGCAGATGTTTTATTTGGTAACTATGGTTTCACTGGTAAACTTGCTAGGACTTGGTTCAAGTCAGTGGACCAGCTTCCTATGAATGTCGGCGATCCACACTATGATCCCCTCTTTCCCTTTGGATTTGGACTCACAACTCAGCCACTGAAAATGAATTAGAACTTAGAAGATACACTAGGTATGTTATTGTTATTGTTGTCGTCGTAGTGTTATTATTATATTATAATCCCACAGAACTCTGTGTGACTAGACTGGGTATGTTTTTGTTGTAGTAATGTATTACTACTAATTGCTATTGATTATAATTATAATGAGTTGTTACTGCTAATGTTCACCTTGCTGTATTTTGAGTAATGCAACTGATTTTTTCAAGACCTTAGTTTGTATGACACATATATACATGTGGCTTCAACCAAGGTGATAAAAGAACAACTTGAACTCAAATTCAGATGGCTATTTGAATCTTAGTACCTGATTGTTTAGTAAGTTACCACAACAACATACTCAGCGAAATCTCACAAATGATCGTGTAGAATATACGTAGACCTTACCAGAGAAACGAACATCCTTCTATATACTAAAAGAGTACAAGAGATCTAATAGCTAAGTATAATGTAAGCTCAGGATGGAGTAAACTGGGAAGGTGAATTATACAAATAGGTTCTGATAGCTTCAGTTTTGGAAGGACTAGATATTTACGATCAAATAATGTTTGATATTAAATAAATTAAAATTGTTTTTGATAATTTTTATTGTAATTGCATCTTATATAATATAGATACCAATTCAATAATTCTTTTAGTTTCATCTCGCTAATTATAATAAGCATCCTTCACCTTTAATTTTAAGATTGTGAGTTCGAGTTATCAAGGAGCGAGTAAGCAAATGGTAAGCTCTTAGGGGTGGTAAGAAGAAGAGTTTGCTTCACTATCAATAGAGCCAAAATTGGAGCATTCAATATATTGATATTATTAGCATTTCAAGTTCCAAATTGTGTAATCTCACACTTCAATAACAAATATTCTGATTACGTAATTAATATCCATTGAGAATTTTAATAGTTCAATGGGTGATTATCTAAAATTTTATTTTATTGGCGAGGATTCAATTTTTCACATAATAATTCCTTCACTTATATTTTTTTCGTTTTTCTACATCGCCAAAAATAAATAAATACTCATTCTAGATAAGATTAAAAATGATCAAGAACAAAATGATAGTTATCCTATCTAAAAGCATTCTTTTGATCAAATATTAGCGTTACAATTTGAATTAGTTACTAACCCACTGTAAAATCAAATCCATCAATTTTAAATAACCCTAACGTTTAAGTCATTTGATTATATTTATTAATCTATATTCTTTATTATCTCAAATTTGATCCATCCAAATATTATCTAATTCATTCTTTTGCTTTCTCCTTACCTTATACTCAATACTCACAAGGACAGCATAAAATAAGTTTTTCTCAAAGAATAAATGACATAAATTCGACTTGTTTGTCAATTTTTTCTAAATCTTAGGAGCTGTATTGCTCTTTTCAAAACTTTAAAGGACTTATTTGCAATATTTCTGTCATGTGATTGATTATTCTAAAAATGGCAGCCACCTACCACGTTCCAATAAAAGGATCCCAATGAAATTTCGCGACAGAAAATGTTAACTTCGAAAAACGTTAGCCGAAAAGTCACACAAACAAATTTCTATTCCAATTGCTCTTTTAGATAAACTTTTTTTAAATGGAAAAAGTAATTAATAATTAGAATAATTTATGTTCCCGTCAAATATAATAGATTTTCTAATTATTAATAGATAGAGTTAAATATATCTTGTTATAACTAAAATAAGCTAAATTTTATCTTTATTTTCAAATGACAAAAACTTAATACCCTTTAAATACATGAATAAATTCAAACTTGTTGTGACAAATATTGATAAGGGCGTTTAGTTATGGAATTGCTCGACTTCTTTCTAAAGTTACTATAACAAAGAACATATTAATTAAAATCACATTAAGTGGGATTTCAGAGAGCAAAATATACGTAATTTAATCACTATCTTATGAAAGTAGAGAGATTGATAAACTCTCGATTTACTCCTGAAGTTGAGCTTCAAAAAACATGTACGATCATTAAAAAATAAAATAAAAAATTTCTGTTTTCACTTTTTCTATATTTTTTTCAGAAAAAAATTTAAAAGCAACCAATAAATATTTTCACTTTTTCTACTATAAATAACCAACTTTTTTTAAAAAAATCAAAATATTATTTTTCATTTTGAAAATATAATCTAGATTTTCACAATATCAAAATATTATTTTTCATTTCGAAAATATAAACTAGATTTTCACAATATAGCATGACCAAACGTCTACTGATTCCTTAATTCACACCCTACCCACCATTACCCCACTCAATGTGCATGTATGTGTGCATATATATAGACTCATCGCCTACTTATTCTCAACAAAATTGCCTGTTTTAAAGTAGAAGAAGCTCAACAAGTAAGTTATACATTTCTTGTTAATACCTGTTTCATACTTCTAAATAAAATTGTTTCTTGTTTGTTCACATTTTTTGTGCTGCTCTTCATGTGTACTGCTATTTTTTTAATTTTTCTTTTGTGTGTGTGTGTGAGTTTTACCAGATTGGCTAAGCAGAAGGCACAAAAACAATGGGGAGATTTTCAATACCCATGAAGGGTTTTGTGTTGTTCTGCTTATGGGCAGTGATTGCAGAAGCAGAGTACCTAAAATACAAGGACCCAAAACAGCCAATGGTTACAAGAATTAAGGACTTGATGAAAAGGATGTCTCTTGAGGAAAAGATTGGTCAGATGACTCAGATTGAGAGGAAAGTTGCATTACCTGATGTTATGAAGCAATATTTCATTGGTATGTTATTAAAAATTCATTCTTTATGTGTATATAGAGCATAGTCTTGGAATAACGATGAAGTTATTTGTGTATGTGATACCCTATGCTGGAAAATTACTCTGTTTAGCTAGGCTAAAATTTTAATTTCATGCATATATGCTTATGTCGACTCCCTTATGTCTGTTAACTTATTATGTTTTGACACTCTTTGCCACTAGCTTCTATGTGACCTACTCCATGGATTCGAACTGTGAATCTAGTATGATGTTTGCCTCTGGGTAGGCTGTTTACGTCATATCTCTTGGGAAGTGGCCCGTGCATGAAATCTGAATGCACGAGCCTTGGATTCAGTAACTAATGCTTGTTTCAGGGTATGACGCCTATGTAACACTACCTTGGCGTGTGGCCATTCCCAAAACTCTTGAGAGAGCTATATACTTAGAGTACTGAGAATAGCCTGTGTTAATATCAAAAGATTTTATCTTTTTGAAAGAAAAAAAAAGGTATTCAAAGAGAAAATGGGAAGGGTGTGGCCTTCTTTCTTTATTCTTTGTTATCCTGTATATTGGAGTTCATTTATCTCTATATTGACATGACCATTCTTGAATGCTTGCTCATTTACACCAGAGATTCTAGAACTTTGCTCATTTGGTGTTAGAAAAATCACATTTTATGTGTATATTTGACTGCACATCGTATCTCATACAGCTTACAGAAAATGGATTCTAAATCAGGGGGCTTTATCGTTAAAACGGGGTTTTTTTGTTAATAACATATGCATATAAAGGAAACAAGGAAAAGGGGTTGATCTGTTTTCTACTGTAGTTTATATTGGATTTCATTTTTATAAAAGAAAATTCTGGCAGGGAGTGTATTGAGTGGTGGAGGGAGTGTTCCTGCACCTAAGGCCTCTGCTGAGGATTGGATCAATATGGTAAACGAGATTCAAAAGGGTGCTCTTTCAACCCGCCTTGGTATTCCAATGATTTATGGGATTGATGCAGTTCACGGACACAACAATGTCTATAATGCTACTATTTTTCCTCACAATATTGGACTTGGTGTCACCAGGCAAGTATATGAATTATAAGAACTATGCTTCTGATTTTTCTTCTAATTATCAGAACGTACTAATATGGTTTCTTTTAAAATGTGGTGAGAGCTTCTCTATTTAATGTGATTAATAAAGAAATGATACCTTAGGATCAAGAAATGATCATCAGCATTGAGGTCAATTATGTTCCAAAAAGAAAATGATCTTGTAATGTATTTTCAACTTCTAATAATGCTCTGTGAATCTCCAAATGCTTGTCTTTCACCTATTTGAGTTAGAAATTTGTCACTTTATTGCAGGGACCCTGATCTTGTGAAGCGTATTGGGGCTGCAACTGCACTTGAAGTTAGAGCCACAGGAATCCCATATGCTTTTGCTCCCTGCATTGCAGTAAGTTGATATGATATGATATGAATGAACTTTTCGACTAGTTGCATTTTTGTTTCTTTGTTATCTGAATAATTTTGTTATGGTAGGTGTGCAGAGACCCTAGGTGGGGGCGTTGTTATGAAAGCTACAGCGAAGATCACAATATTGTGCGAACCATGACAGAGATAATTCCTGGTTTACAAGGAGATCTGCCAGCTAATTCTCGCAAGGGTGTTCCCTTTGTTGAAGGAAAGTATGAATCTCAATCATTTTTCACATCTACTTCCCTGTTTTAAATGATTTACACCAGACATGTGTTTAGGAATAAGAATGAAGATTACTTCATTAAAATGAAGAAGAAAAAAGATGATTATCTTACTAACTCCTTCAGAAGCAAATTTTTTTAATGAGAAGGCGACATGACTGGTGGGATGTAGTGATCTTTATTAGTATCAATGTCATTTATTTACTTCACACGGAAGCTCTCTGCCATACTGGGGAAAGTTTGGATTTGATGATCTAAGAATCAATACTATTAACAAATACTTGTTGGTTATAATATATAAGTGGTCCAGCATAGTATTTATCTTGACAATGACCTTCAGCAAGTGTGTTTATTGTTGATCTTTGAGTCAAATATAATTGAACCATTAAAGTATTGTTTAAGAAAATGTTAAATAAGGTAATGTTTTTGGTGCAAGAATATTTCTAGACATTTTGATTATTACGATTCTGAATAGCTTCTAACCATCAACCCTGAAGTTTCTATTTTGTCGTCCTTTGTTGTGGAACATTCGTTTGATTGAACTTTCAACTGGTTAAGGTTAAAGGTAGCAGCCTGCGCCAAGCATTTTGTAGGAGATGGAGGCACAGTGAAGGGAATCGATGAAAATAACACTGTAATTAACTCAAATGGTTTATTTGGCATCCACATGCCTGCATATTATAATTCCATCATAAAGGGTGTTTCAACGGTGATGGTATCTTACTCAAGCTGGAATGGTGAAAAGATGCATGCTAACCGAGATCT